GAGAGAGAGAGAGAGAGAGAGAGAGAGAGAGAGAGAGAGAGAGAGAGAGAGAGAGAGAGAGAGAGTTCCATTACATTTGCATGGGAACACCAATGAAGACCTGCTGATGTCAGGTTTTTGTCATGTATGAAATCTTTCCAGGAACTCCGTATCCTTTTTTCCTTCCTTCAGATCCTTGCTTTTTTTATCAGGAAAGAAGGAAATATTTCTGGAGTTGATGTCGGGTATTCATGTAAGCAATAAAAACAGAGGTAGGGAACGGGTACCCACCTCCTCTGTCCCTCTTCCGTCTCATCATCCCCTAGGAAGCGTATAAGCTCATCAAGTAGAGCTGGAAGAACTGCCTTGAAGATGTCATGTGCATCTGTCTCAGTCTGTGCCTCATAGAACTGAAGGGCAGACTCCAGCTCACTCCCATTTGCCCGCAGCAGCAACACGGAGAGAACGCAATGGCACCACTCCAGCAGCAGTTCGGGTAGACCCATGCCTAGCTGTCTGGCTATTTCCTGCAGCGCCTCCAACACACCTGGATTTTTCTGTTGCTCGAGGACGAGTCGAGGTAGAACGACAGGCACCATCTCACGCAGCATATCCACAAGCCTCATGCCCGCCACTGACTCCACAAACTCAGCGACCATGGCGGATCTCCTTACCATTCGTGACGTCAGGTAGTCGAATAACTCCTCTTTGTAAGTCTCAATCAACCTCCTCACACTTGCTCTCTCCTTGCCTCCCTCTCCCATCTCCACCTGATATTGCTTGTCCTCATCCATAATCTCCCACCCGTGCACTGCAATTCGCTGAATCATAGTCACGGCTGCTATTCGTAGCTGAGCGTCTTCACTATCCAGCTGCTCGATGAGCAGGACAATCGAAAAGAAGACCAGCCGTTTTGACTGATCTGCACTTCCTACAGGACTCCCGCCACCTCCACATTCACCCCGTCTCCCCTCTCCCCCTACAAGTTCTCCACCATCAGGCCCCAGGGCGGTGATCGCTAACTCTGCGACTGATGCCAGGACTGTCTCCTTAACTGCAGCATCTTCAGTACGGGACAGCGCATGCTGTAGTTTCCCTAGCAGTTGCAGCTCTGGCATTTCATCCTCCTCCCGTTGCACTCTCTCCCTGTCACCGTCCTCCGGCATTCCTGTCCTCACAAACAAGCCTTCGAGAATGTCTTTCTCCAAGAACACACTCATGATGGAGCACAGTGAGGATCTCACAGACGGCACAGGATGCAGCAGAGCGGAATCTACGGTCTTCAAGAGGTCTTCCCTCATGGCTTCTACTTCTCGTTTATCCGCATGCTTCAGCATCCGCGCCAGGCTCGACAAGAATGCAACCAGAACCCGTGGGGATCTCTTCTCAAGGAGCATATGTTGAATCAAAGGCTTCCATGTGGACAGTGGGATGCGCGACACCTTACACCCTTTCCTGTCTCCACTCTCTCCTCTATTGCATCCTCCGCCGTCCACCGATCCCTGCCCATCGCAAGAAGGGCAAACCAATGCTTCTGGCATCACTTTGAAGCTCACTCCTCCTTCCCCTTTTCTCTCTCCCGGTGTCATTATCACTCCAGGAAGGGATGAGATGCAAGCCATAACCCCCACAAAGTGAGTGACCGCCTCACAAACCAGGTCATCACGTGGCGCTAGATCCCTGAACCAGGAACAGGAAATCATGTGGGGACCACACACACACACACACACATGCACAACCCCAAAAAGTGAGTCGTCAACAAACCACAAATGTGGCTGAACTCTTAGGAAACAGATGCTGAGTTCGAACCCTGGAAAAGAATACCATAATGCCAGGGGCTGACCCCTCCAGAAACAGAAAAAGGAGATAAGACCCTGCTGGACAAGAGGCCAAAGAAAGGGAATCAAATAGAACCACCAACAACACGGCGCGGCCCATGCGGTACCAAACCAGGGCACTCTTTTGTGGCTGCGTCTAAGGACGGGGGTCATACAATAGAGTGTGGGTACTGGCTGGCCATCCCGGTGGAAGGTCTCCTCGTGTGATGTACATTGGGAGTGGGTAGAGTATGTACTCTGGGTGAGGCAGGGGTGGGACAGATGTCGCAACCATCATGGTATGGCGGTACGGCTTGTACGTTGAACATTGCGCCATGGTTCTCTGTGGCTCAGAATACCGGCTCAAAAATTCCTGTGGTTGTGGACCGTAGTTGCGGTGCATCACGTGCGCCGCAGCGCACATGCGCACACGTGCTCGTGCACGTGATGCGGCGCATTTAGAAAATAATAATAAAAAAAAAAATCAGAAATGGTAGGTCGTCGTACCCATAAGTGTCCCTCCCTTTTAAAAAGGGTAAGTACACAGAAAGATAATCTTTTGGGGCCTCGTCGTACTGCTCATTGGTTTGATTCTCCTTTCCGAAAAGTACCCCGCAAGCAATTAGCAGGAAGTCCATAGCCTTCGGAAGGAGGTGCATTGGACTGCTGGAAGACCTTGAGCAGGCCAGCAATATATCCTGCATTAGGGTTCAGGTCTGTGTTCCAAGAGTTATGGGTTGCGAACTTACTACAAACACTCCAGTAGTTGTCTCGTTTTTTTTTTCCCTTTTCTTACATGCAGTGGCCCTAAGGGCCTCGCTCCACTCATCGGCACTTGCGGAAAAGAAAAACGGATGGCTTGTATGGTTCCAGTTTCTAGGAGAAGATTCATTCTAGTTTTGCACATACAGTAGCTGTCTCGTTTTTTTGTTTTTCCTTTTCTTTAGTGGCCCTAAGGGCCTGGCTCCACTTATCAGCACTTGCAGAAAAGAAAAACGTACGGCCTGTATGGATCCAGTTTCTAGGAGAAGATTCATTCTAGTTTTGCACATTTGGTGAGTAGTGGAGTGAAGCCCTCAAAATCACATGCCGAGTTAGTAAGTCAGTAACCCATAACTGCTGAAACACAGACCTGAAATTGAAACTACACCATATGTAGCTGGCCTACTCCCTCCTTACTACGAGTCCAGTGACGACCCTTCCAATGACCACCCCGTTCCTGCCGAAGGGACCCTTGCCAATTTTTGGCAGGGACCTTTTGAAGTGCCGGCAGGGGTTGTCTGAATAATGTGAAAGGGCTCTGTGCTCTCTCTCTCTCTCTCTCTCTCTCTCTCTCTCTCTCTCTCTCTCTCTCCTCCAGCGTGTATACACACATCAATGACATCACGTTTTGTTTTGTTTTTTGCGCGCGCACCAATGCGCACTGCGCAGCATACTGTGCAGCGCACTTCACCTACGCGCCGCAAGTATGTTGTGGACACATCCTTGCATTAGCACTTGATCACTTTGTGGTATACAAGCCCCACTGAAAGAACCGACAAAGCTGGAAAGCAAAACTTGCGAGTCTGTGACACCTGCCCCTAAACCCTAATTTCAGTTTGGAACCCGTTAACCAAAGCACTGAAAGTGGGGGTCCCTGTTAACCACTTGTGTGACACCTACGGGATGCTGAACCCTTTTTTCCGGCAGGTGCTGCTCCCTACCATTACATCAGAGCTGCATTTATCCTGCTCACTGCTCAGTTCATAGTGCAAGAGAAACTTTGAGACAATGCCGTACTTTGCAACTCAAGAAGAAGTGGAAGAAAGAAAGAAGAAGAAGAAGACAAGACGGAATCAATGTATCCCCTTGAGCATAACGAAGCGAGGCATTGTGTGGATTTGTTTCTGATGTAAGGGGGCGCTGGACCCGTTTTCCAGCTTTATAAAATCATCGATAAGTATGGATCAAATACATTTCCTTCCCACATACATGTATCATCTCGAATCTATCGATGAGATATATATCGATCGCACTGCGATGGCTTACTGTCTATAGATAGATGGCAATGCAATAAGCTGCAGATTCCCAGGGGGCTGTATAACTAAGTAGATTCGTTTTGTAATATTTTCCGACATCTTGAGGTGTGGGGCTCGACCCCTGTACTTGTCACTTGCTGGGAATCTTTATTCTGGGCAGAGCCTTAGACCACTAGGCCGTCTCCTTTCGTCTTTTTCTGCTGCTTTTTTTTTTTGTGTAGGCCCGAAAGTCTTACTGTTCTGTTTGTCTAAATTGTCTTCCTTCGGTCAAACTGTCAAAGTAGAGGTCGTGTGTAGAAATGGGAGGCTGGCGACGCACTCGGGGTTCCCTTTGCTCATTCTTCTTTTCACGAGCTGGGTGTGAGGTCGCGTTGGAGCTGGAGGGCGGCTAATTTTCAGTAGTGCGGCAGCAAACATCTTCACACGCTGCTGGCGGCCATAGCTGGGGCCGAGCAGCTTTCTTGATGGCAGTTCTTGGCTAGGCGCCCTAGTACTGACAAGCGCTTCCTCCTATTGGTGGGCTGTTGGGGATTTGGGCAGCTGCCACGAAGCAGCTCTTTGAAGAATCTTCAACGTGGCAGGTCTTCATCTTCATCAAGTTGGTGTGCCCCTTCTCCGTCCTGGGAGATGCGCTACGCTGCTGAGTGAACACCTCATCTGCAGTGGGCTTCGTGGGTGGTGCAGAAGGGCGAGTTGGATTCAGGAGGGTGTGCAGCGACCGACCCCCCAATTTTCACCCCCATTTATAAGAAAACCAAAGGGTCATTTTAAACATACTTTACACCAATCTGTAAAGTGCACTTCTTACTACCATATTGTAAAACAAAAACCGGAAAAAAAAAAAAAAAAAAACCCTATAAAACAGCAAGCCAAAAGTGCACTTTCATGAAATTTTACCAACATTTCAATTTGTCGATTTTCACAATTTTCACCACTGCTCAAAACAACCATCTCCAGGAACCCAACAAACACCAAACTTGCCACATACAGACCTTGACCAAAAACAAAACAGGCCAAAAAARAAMAAAACAAAAAAAAAAAAAAACTGTTTAAAAACATGATCGCCACTACACTTTTCAGGGTGGCGAAGGTTACCCTAGGGGTGAAAAGTGAGGGTACCTGTTAACCATTTGTGGGAAGAAGACGGCTCCCATGCTTTATGAAACTTTGTACATAATTGGTCTGTGGGTGTTGATAACGTGGTTGGGATTCTTGGGAAAACCCGCGTTGCTGATTGAATTGGGGAGAGATGGTAATTAGAATTGATTCTCAGTTCAATTCTATTTTGGGTATTTGTGTGCTTCCACTGTGTATTTTCCTCATCCGGTTTGGCGTGCGGATTGCTCTCTCCAAGTCCACTTGTCATTGCGCACGCGTATGGGAATGTGCGGATGCCATGTTGGATTCCGTTTCAATCAGACACATAACAGCAGTTGGAGTATGTCTTGTACTTGTACTGGATATAGAATTGAATACAATGTCACGGGTCTCACTTCACTCACAAACTCAATCCTTCACCGGGAAAGGTTATATACGTGTGTAGTCCTATGGCCGCAAGAGCGTTTCTTTTATTTACTTCCGCCTCTCACCCAACTCACTCACTCGAAGACTGGAACTACAAAGCAAGTAAAAACAAGTTTAAATTTTAAAAAGCAATGTCTGAATCATCCCCCGCCCTACTCCCAGCACTCAAAGAGCCTTTGTCAAACCACCAGTACATCCAACGTACTTTTCTCCGGGTCTGGAAACACCCTGCACAGTGCACGCCAAAAAAAAATGAATCGGCGCGGGCCCCCTTTTGGCTGGTGCCGCCAGCCATTTCGCTCGGAAGGCCGAGTTCCAAAAGTGGCCGCTGCATGCATGCCATGACTTTGAAAAAAAAAAGGCTGGGAAACGTACTGGCGGTTTAAGACCACTCTCTCCCTCCTATTCACATGGTTGCACAACTACCGTCTTCACCCGAATAGAACGCCCTGTCATTATAGCTGTACTTGGGGCACTTTTCAGTCCAGGTGCAGCGATAATCACCGGGCGTTCTATTCGGGTGAAGACGGTAGCTATGGTGGTTGGTTACCCATGCCTAGCACGGATGTTCAAGGGATATGGCATCTGCTACCATGCCTCTACCCTCTCCTACCTTATTCCCCCGAATACAACGTACGGTCATTCTCGCTGTATCTAGACTGAAAGACTCGTCAAATACAGCTATAACGACCATACGTTGTATTCGGGGGAAGAAGGTAGCCATGGTCACACTCGCAGATGTAATCATGCCTAACTGGTGCCCCAACAAGGACCTTTGAGATCCAGTGCCAACCAAGGAAGTGGAGATGGTCCACCATAGCAAAAGCTGAGTGTCCCTTCTCGGTTCCCTCCTTCTTCTTCCTCGTATATACCTCTACTCTTCTCTCCCACCTACCTCCATAGACTAGCTTGAGGTGCTTCTGCATCTACCTCCACAGTGTAGGCCTTCTCCTGCCTCCCACTCCATATCCATGGAGTTCCTCTCTCACTCACCCTCAACTCCTCCTCCTCCTCCCACCCAGTGCTCCGCCTCACAGCGTGACGGCCAAGTGAATGCCCAGACTAATCATTGGACCCAATCGTATACTCTTCGCCTTCACTCCCTTCCTGCCCCAGTGCTTCAGCCTAGTACTGGTGCAGTACCATCTTCTCCCCCTGCACACAACGCATTCTCATTATGACTGTTTCCAACCTGAAAGACAGCTTGTATTCATTCATAATGAGCGTGTGGCAAGCTCACGGGAGGATGGTAGGCCTACCGATTGCCATCTGTAATTCACCTACAGGGCCTGAATCTAACCTGATGTCTAACCTGATACATTCAGACCCAGGACCATAATGACCTACCTACCTGAAAGCTACCAGACTCTAGGGCCTGTCTGAGTTACAAGAAGACCCCTACCAGGCCACTACCGAATTCTACTTTGGTCCCTGTCCATCCTAGAATTGAAAAGAATTCCCTTTTTTTTTCGTGTAGGCCACACCATCCAGTTTCAGACCTACCATTGTAAACTATACCTATTTACTGTTCCACCCCTCTCGCGACATTAGTACACGGACACACAGTCAGACTCAGCAAGCATCAGATTGACTCCCGCACACACGCAACCCAGCAATTCAAACTCACGCTTGGAAATCTCCGCAAAAATCCGGCCAACAAAAACAGACAGCATTTCTCAGACAATTCAAAAGTGCAGAAAACTCTGACTGTGACTGTGCAGGTCTTTTTTTTTTGTGCAGGTCTGGTTTTGCTGAGTGTTGTTTTAATTGAAACCAAGTTAAAGAAAAACAAAAAAAAAGCAGCACCCTACATGAGAAGTGTTAGGCCAAAACAAAAGGGAAAAAAAGAGTAGCATTCGCCTGCTACCAAGGGTAAGCAGAGCCTAAAAGAGTCCAGAGAGGTACTGCGGACGGAGAAAAGGAGCGGGAATGTGCTATAGTAATTAGTCGAGGGAGAGAGTCAAGGGAGTATTTAGGGCCTAGAAACGACCTACAACCTACACGGCAGTTTTGATCGGCAAGGGAGTTTTGTTGGCCATCAGAAGTCACTCGAAGTGATTGGGACGGTCGGCAAAGCCTGGGTCCCAGAAAAACACACAGAGGAGGCACGTATGACCCCTTTTCTTTTTTTTGGGGGGGGGATTTGCAGTGTGTTGCATACCTGCCGACCGCCGACCTCGACCGCCGACCGTTTTGCAGCAGACCAGTAGGGCCAACCAGTTGGCCGTCTGCCGACCAGTCAGAAAACAGCCATCCACTGATTTTTTTCAAATCTGAGTTGGGGGCTGTACTGCACTTGCTGAGTACAGCCCAAATCCGCTGAGAAACTTTTGGGGATGTGTGTGTGGGGGGGGTGGTATAGGGGGTATNGGTGTATGGAGGTATTGGGGGCGAATATGGGGGTAATGGTGGGGTTATTAGGGGTTCTGGAGTCTGGAGCCGATTTTATTTATTTATTTATTTATGTATTAAACTTTATTTATTTATTAAATTATTTATTTATTTATTTATTTATTTATTTATTTATTTTTGTGGGGTGCCAACGACCACTGACCGGTAGGTGCCGACCAACCGAGATGCAACACCGGATTTGCACAAGTAGGTTATAAGAGCACTCTGCTATTAACGTCAGTGGCTTTTCAGAGGACATCTGTGCTGTGCTGTGCTGTCAGGGCAGAGAGCAGCAATGCGAAGGCAGTGCTAGGCCAGATTGAGTCAGAAAACTGGGAAAAGTTCTTTTTTTTTTTTTTTTTTTTTTGAGTCAGAAAAGATATTACTACACAGTCTGCACTGTTTTCTTTTTAGCCAAAAGGTGGAGAAAGGTGTTGTTCTAGTTACGCGACTGTGGGAAGCCCCGGTAGGGGAATTAGTACTAAATGGCCAGTAGAATTTACTTTTGCTCAAATTCATCGATTTACAAATGCTAGAGATATACTTGAATTAGTGACTCGTCCTTTAAGAAGAAATCAGAGCCTTAAGAACTCGGTTGGAATATCGTATGACGATATATATTGTCGCATAACTATGAACTAAAAGAGCGCAATTTTTATATATATTGTCAAACAGAGCTGCCCGGTAAACCAGAGGCAGAGAGGGAGAAGAGGACAACAAACGAGGGGCTGTGACAAACTGTTTCGTTGGAGTTTCACCGACTCATCAATCAGGAGGCTGAACCCTCAACAATCTGCAGAATCCCCTAACTGATCACACTGTAAGTGATCATCCACCTTAACCCCGGTTGTCGTTAAGCGTCAACGACAGCCCAACAACTGACACCCTGAGGTGGTGGGGACCACCAACCACTGCCCTCAAATGGCCATAGTATACAGCAGTTTGAACCCCATGCTGAACACACAGCGTAGTCAAGACACTCCTTATCGTCTTACTACTACCTTCTTCACCCAAATACAATGTATGGTCATTATTGCTGTATTTAGACGGAAAGATACCCCAAATACAGCTATAACGACCGGGTGTTCTATTCGGGTGAAGACTGTGGTTGTCAGAGGATTTTTTTGAACTCTTTTCTTTTTTCTCTTTTCTTCCACAAACCTTATCTTCGCAGCATAGCCAAGCGCCTTTTCAAAATCCCACTTCCAGGAAAATTCAGGAGCCAAGAAGATCGCACGCGACTGAACCTGAGGACTATCATCCTGCAGAGCGAGCAGGAGAATCTCTTCGCCCTTTGCTTCGCAACTGAATCGCTCGATGACAGCTGCAATGCTAATTGCGCATATTTTCATCTTCAACATGCATTCCGGTGGCATTGGCTTCTGGCTGTCTGCCGCATGCTCTGTCGTATCTTCTGCTGCTTCCAGCTCTTTCTCCGCCATAGGATGATCATTGAGATCAACGTCTGATGAGTCGGAAGAACCTTTTGTGCGTGTGTCTTTGCACCTCCAGGGATATGGAAGCAATTTCATCACCGCCTCGAAGTCCCATAACTGCGAGTCGTATTGCGACCTGCTACTGTTTTCCTTATTCGGGCAGCTCCCAGTGGGTGAAGCGCCATTATTCTCCCGGCTGCCAACGGCATTACTGCCACCGCCACCCCCTGCATAAGAAGCAGCACACGGCTTCGTAAATTCGGGTTTTGCAGACCAATACTGCCGCCCAACTAACACACCAAATTTGACCGAGGCGAAAGGACGGGAAAAAAAAAAAAAAAAAAAAAAAAAAAAGGAACAGAAAACAACTTCAAAAGACTTCAAAAATTGGAAAAAAGTTAAAAAAACACAAAAAGTGGCCCGAGTTTTGGGGTTTCAAACTCCTGACTAGATGACCTGTTGCCGCTTTTTGCTCGCAAGAAAACAGTACGGGACGATGATGTCAAAATCCTGATAGATATGCTCAAGGCAGCAAAGTGGAAAAGAACAAAAGAATGCGCTCGCTGTTCGACATACCATGCTTCTAGGACAGGATCAGAAAAGGGTCACCTTTCTTTTATTTTTTCTTTTTTTTTAAACATCGGCCGAGGCGCCCCTACTGCAGGCAGGGATAGCTGAAGCATTGTCAAGCATACAGTATTACAGTGTAATAAGTCACTCACCATCCAATATAAGGAATCTGTCCAGCACTTCCATTAAGAGCGCCATGTGAGACGAAGTGATGATCCTGCTGTCATTCATCTGTTCAGCACACACACAAACACTCGAGAGTCAAAACAGTAACCCCACAATAGACAGGCAAGCAAGAAAGCAAGCAAGCAAGGGTCTGATCATCTGATGAGATATTCTCCTTCAGCAGAAAAGAGACAGAGGACCATGCTTGATCACCACCTCCCATCCCATAGTGTCCTCTTGTTAGATCGGACATCCGGCATCTGTCACCGAGGAAAAAAAAAAAAGTAGAGGAAATCGAACACGTACTCATTCGTACAAGGCCCTTAACAATAAAATAATTCACAACCAATCGTAAACCGGCCTTAATAATTCACAAGTCAGCCCCACATTCAACGGCATGATATGAGAACCCAGTCAATCTATAAATAGAAAGTTAGAAACCACTAATGCACACAGCGTAGAATCCGAGACCGCCAACAGGCAAATCCCTGTTCTATAACATTACCACTGAGATCGCCTCAAGATGAATCTGTGGCTTTTGTGATGACCTGACCAAACACGGACTGAGACACACAGCTGATTTCGGAGTTTTGCTCATGGACTGAATGCCTTGCTGAGTTTCCCGCTTGTTACTGAGTTTTCTAAGTCTGTGTGGGTGCACGCTTGCTGGTCTGCATGTCTGTCTGAGTGCTTGTCGGCTCGAGTGTGTGTGTGACCCGCAAGGGAACTTGTTCGTTCGTTGGGCCCGCAGGGCCGGTACTTACCTGTGGCCGTGACATTGAGGATTGCAGAGGGGAAAACACTCAAGAGGCGGGGAAAGAGGCCCGCAACACTTGAAGCAGCGGGGAAACACTCAAGTAGCAGGTAGGCCGGTACCACACCCTGAAGAGGTAGATGTGCCGGATACTCGAGGCCGAGCAGAAGAAGACAAAAGTAGGCATTTTTAGAGGCCCAGTAGTTGTAGGCTACGTCTCGGCAGGTACCAGTCCAACCAGTCTGAGCCTAGGGCCTGTACGGGCAATATCAGAGTCTGCAATGATGTTTCCCTCCGAATGGGAATGGGAGGAGGTACCAGTTGCTTGGAAGGCCAAGCGGCCTGGAAGTCACCGCCCAAGAGGCAAGTAGGCCGCTATATCTCCGGGCCGGGCGAAGAGCCCAGCCTCATTGTCGGTGTGCAAGTTTGGCGACACACTGGTTGGAGCGCTGGCTGGAGCAGCGCTAGCTTGGAGCAGCGCAGCTGGGGAAGGAGCAAGGACACGGAGGAGGACGATGACCAGGAGGAAGGGGGAGCGCCAGAGGTACTTACCTGGCTATGGTGGTTGCCATCTTCATCACCTTGGTGGGTGCTGCAGCAGGAAGGCCCCCGTTGGGGCAGAGCTACACCAAGAAGCTTCGAGGCAGAGTCAGGCATGGCGGGCTGAGCTAGAGCAGCCATAGCCGCTTTCTGTTGTCCTTCTGAGAGCCAGGCCATGCCCTGGTAGTCCGCCATAGCCTCGGCCTAGGAGGAAGAGAGAGAGAGGCGGCCATGGCTATGGTGGACCTCAAGTGATACCTGCAGTAGAAGAGGGATTCGGACATTGATTCTGGTTCAGCCATTAAACATTGTATTATTATTTCTTGTGTGAATAAGAGAGGAGGAGATAATGAGGAGGAGAGTGTTTGGCGAAGATGAAGAGCATTATCATTTGTCTATGCTGGTGTCCGTCATCCTCTTCTTCTTTACTTCTTCTTCTTCTTCTTCTTCTTCTTCTTCTTCTTCTTACCCTCTCTTTTTGCAATTGGACGGTATATATATATATTGTCACATAACTATGAACTAAAAGAACGCAATTTGCGAAATAAACGACAAAAATAAAAAAATTTAAAAAACAAGACAAACATGAAGGGCACAGTGAAACCATTCATTTTTCTCATTCTTCTTTTGACTCCCCTTTCACCGTGCCTCTAACGTACAAGGCTCGCCACGTTGATGAAGTTGAGCRCGAGCTGCCCCCATCCCCGTGTGCCATAACAGCCCACTTGTACGCTGTGAGAAAGAGGCAGAGTGAAGGGGGAGGGGATAAACACAGGGAGGAGAGATGGAGAGCAGACAAACAAAGCACGATAAAGGGAAAGTAAGGGAAAGTATGGAGTGTGGAGTGAAGATGAAGGCAAAAGAGGATAAACACAGGAAGGAGAGATGGAGAGCAAACAAACAAAGCACGATAAAGGGAAAGTAAGGGAAAGTATGGAGTGTGGAGTGAAGATGAAGGCAAAAGAGGATAAGAAAAGGCTCAAGAATGAGTCTGTCCTTGACGACAGAGAGGACATACATTGTAAGGATGAGGTGGATGACCACATGGAAGACCTAGCTGAGCATTCTCAGTGCAACAATTGCCACGATGAGTGGCATTGAGCATGCCCACCATACACCCCCGACAAATGGCATGTCGATTGCAGGCCAAAATGAAAGAAGAACGGTCACCACAAAAGAGCATGCATTCAGTATAGCGCCCATGGCCGCAAAATGGACATATAGTGTCCGGATGTGGAGGGTGCCTGCAGTCAGGAACGGTCGGACAGTCCTCTGCACACATGGATGCAGAAACCATGTCATTGTAGTGATTGTGACAGAGACGATGGCAACTACAGCCGAGTGTAACAGTGTTTGTGGTTGTGCAAAGGAGAAGGTCGCAGAGTGTTGGTACATTATCTTGCTGCAGCAAGGGGCCAGAGGAATGATCTTCGACATAAAAGAGATTGCGGACGGTTTGTTGTGGCAAGAAAACAACATCATTTTGTAAGAAATCGGTGACATCAATCATGGCATGGACCATGGTGCCGTTGTCCCACAGCTCCCAGTGGTCAGAGGCATGTACAATGGCCATGTGATGGCCAGGGCCGTGCATAATGCAGGCAGAGATGTGGGATGCAGGATTAAACCACTCACCTGCTCGAGCATTGCGTAGTTCAAGTTGACGGTCCCTCATTGCTACTTGTAGGACAGCAATGGTAAAGCCTCCTTCGCTGGTATAATTACAATCCTCTGGCTGTTGTTGGGGAAGATCGGCATCAAGCTGAAGGGCGATTGCAAGGAAGTCTGATGGTGTATAAAAAGGGCGGTGGAGAATGTGAAGACAGATATTAGTTGCTGTCAGACCACAGAGATTGTTGAGGTTCTCAGGCTGGTTTGTTGGATGCTGGCCAACAATTTGCAGATCACCCAGATGGCGTTGCAAGCCCAAACTGTGTTGGGTTGTTTGCTGGTCAGTCATTTGCAGATCACCCATGTGGTCTGCGCGCGGAGGAGCACAAAATTGTGGTTCATCCGAACAATGCTGGTCAGCCATTTGCAGTTCTCCCATGTGGTCTACGCCTTGCGGGGTCAACTGCAATCTGGGCAGATCATGTTCCAATCCCGCAACGTTTAGGGCTGCATCCTGAGTAGGGACTGTACCTGAAGTCGGGAGTATACTCTGGGCAGCGGCTGCATCCTGAGTAGGGACTGGTGGCTGCCTGCAGGTAGCTGGACTGTCTGCAGGAGGCATAGGAGCGGATATTGCCATTTGAAACAAAGGAACCGCAACAACCTGTGGAGGCGGCACAAAGAGAACCGGGGCAGACAAAGAAACACGTTGCTGATCCCCGGACAAGTGACGATGCCGCGGATGTCGTCGGTGATACACAACAAGAGGAGTAGTGGTGTTGCAAACAGAAGCTGAACTTGTACCTAGCAACGAAGGTGGAACAATGGGGACAATGGAACTGGAGAGTCTGTTCGCAAGCGAGAACGTGGAGGAGACGGGGGTGGTGAGGAGGAACGCAGTCGTCTACCGCCAAGCACAGACGAAGATGAGAGGGGGGTGCATTGGGCAAGATTTCGAAGCAAAGGACGTGAGCGTCAGAGAGATTGTGATGTTCTTTGCACTGGAGCTGCAGGACAGGAAGCTGTAGCGGTAGAAACTAAAGTAGGGGGAAGTACAGTTAGGGAAACTGTTGTACTGAAAACTGCAGCAGTGGAAACCGCAGCAGTAGAAACTGCAGCAGCGGAAACTGGAGCAGTGGAAACTGGAGCAATGGAAACTGCAGCAGTGAACACTGCAGCAGCGGAAACCACAACAGTGGACACTGCAGCAGTGGAAACTGGAGCAGTGTATTGTCACATAATTATAAACTAAAAGAGCCCAATTTGCGAAACAAACGGCAAACATTAAAAATTAAAAAAACAAGACAAACATGAAGGGCACAGTGAAACCATTCATTTTTCTCATTCATCTGTTGACTCCTCTTTCACCGTGCCTATCACGTACAAGGCTCGCCACGTTGATGAAGTTGAGTGCGAGCTGCCCCCATCCCCGTGTGCCATAACAGCCCACTTGTACGCTGTAAGAAAGGCAGAGTGAAGGGGGAGGGGATAAACACAGGGAGGAGAGACGGAGAGCAGACAAGCAAAGAACGATAAAGGGAACAAGTGGACCCCTCCACGGCTACGCCGCGGCGCACAGCAACACTCGCTGATGGAGTCTCATTTTT